TTTTAAAAAGGAAAAACATATAATCCGAATTTCATTTGAATATATGTGGAGTGAAAGTAAGCAAGAAAGTGGTGGTATCAACCAAACTCTGGAATGATATTATTAAGAACAAGTAAGGAAGGGCTAAGTTCGGATGTAACCGAACATTTATACTCTGCAAGTCAAATACTCGTTTGAGATTTCTTTGTGGATTGACTGATATTTTCGGTAGAAGGTCAACTATAGGCACTGGGGCCCACATATTTAGTACTTAGAGGCTTGAACAGTTTTGTGTTCGATTTAGACAATTTTTGGCCGCAAGGTGGCATACTTTAATTGCATTATTCACGCAAAGTTTTACCCGATATAATCATTGTTATGATTTGCATAGTGGAAAGTGAAAGAATCAGATGGAATTGAAAATGGTGTTACATGGGAAGTAAGCGTGGTTGTAGTCCGATTTCGCCATTTTCGCACTATATACATAGAAACATGAGAAGAACGTTATGCACCGAATTTGGTTGAAATCGGTTGAGCAGATCTCAAGATATGGGTTTTCACCTAAAAGTGGCTGTGCCACGCCCACTGTCTAATTTTGAACGCGGTTCCTATAAAGCCAACTCATACCATCTCAGAGATAAAATTTAATGTCTCTGGCGTGTTTATGCTTGATTTATGCGCTTTGTAGTTTTTAACAGTACCGTTATATGGGGAGTGGGCGGAGTTGCCACCCGATTTCAACTATTTTCACACCGTCATAGAAGTGCTAAAAACATTTGCTTCTAGTGAATTTTTATTATAGCATAAGCGGTTTAGGAGATATGCACATTAAACCTATTAGAGGCGGACCACGCCCACTTTAAAAAGTTTTAACTGCAGATGCCTCTCCTAATGTGATCCTGTGTACCAAATAACAGTCTTGTATCTTATTGCGGAGCTTAGTTATGCAAGTTATTTGTTTTGATTAATGGCGTTTGTGGGGGCAGTGGTCCGATTACGCCCATCTGCAATACCAACCATCTTACGGTACCAAGAAACATGTCTACCAAGTTTCATAAAGATATCTCAATTTTACTCAAGTTAGAGCTTGCACGGACGGACGGACGGACAGACAGTCACCCGGATTTCAACTCGTCTCTTCATCCTGATCATTTATATATATGGACTATCACCTCTATATTCTAACTTCGATTAGTTTTAGGTGATACGAACAACCGTTAGGTGAACAAAACTATTATACTCTGTAGCAACAGGTTGCGAGAGTATAAAAATATATTTTTTTATGTAAGAAAGGTGAAAAATATTATATAAAAACATAACACTTTGTTCAAACATCTCCAAAACATTTAATTTTCAACTCTTTTGGCCAGAGTTTGGTTCACATTCTTAGAAAATATGTTACTTTAGAAAGAAAAAATATGATTTCAGATCAAAACTGTGTCCTCCAGGAGTCCCTCCAGGTGGACACCACTTTCTAACTCCACTTCTTCCGGCGGAAATGCCATCGAAAAATTTAAAAGTGTAGTTCAAAATAGGAATAAACTACCTGAAACCGACTTTCCACCAGATTCAAATCGTATATTTTGGACAATATGTGATATTTTAATTAAATTAAGTGTAGATGTTTTTTTTTTTTAAATATAATCTGCTTTAGAATATATATGCAATTAGTCTAGACCTTGGTCTAAGCCTTATATCCCTAATATTATGTATATATATTTTCTGATGCTCTGGTAGACCTTTGCTTGATATAACCAATAAATTAAATTTAGACCCTATGGATTGAGTTTACATCTAGCTCATATATCTCAATTGAGTTAATTAGGTTGATTTTAAAATAAATATCTCGGACACGAAACAAAATGTAGTAATGAAACTAAGTATGTCTGTGACCTACGTTATAAATTAACGAGATACCAAACATGACTGTAATTCATTGACTGACAATGACCATCTATTAATGAATATTAAATTCTTAAATTTTAATACAAAGTTTTGCCTCCCCCTGCAAATTAGCAAACTTTGCCCTTCTTTACTTGTAAGCATTATATTAAACTTTATAATAAAAAATAATAATAATAAATTTTAAATAAAAAAAAACTAATTTTCAAGATTTGTTAGTAGTTTTATATACTATGTAGATTTTTTTCCTCAAAACAAATAAATATAACATTTGAAATTGTATTTTTTAAGCCGAAAACAAAGTGCAGTGAAACGTTAAATAATGGATAATTTAAAATAATTTGTTTCCAAATTGTATGCAATACATTTATATACATACATATGCATACTTATCTACAGGGTGGCTCACGAATCGTGCTACAAAAACAAACCGTAATAGCTTATTTCTGTGTGAGTAATCGACTTACTTTTTTTATTTGGCGGGATTTTTTTTAAATTTTTTAAAAATTAATGCTTGGGATACCAAAAAGAAGTTTTGGATAGTGCAGCGGTAGCATGCTTTGCAGTCTGTCATTTCCGTCCAAAGGGAATTCAGACGGGATTTTGGCGGAGCTCCCCGAGTAGATGGACCATTATGTGGTTGGTAAACATGTTTGCCGGATCTGGAAGTATCACAAGAAGACCGTACTCGATGCTCGTGTTCAAGAAACAATCGCGGATGTTGTGTCGTCAATTCAGGAAAATCCAACAGTTTCGAATCGCACCTTATCGGCGTAACTTGGATTTAGCAGACAGCCATTACAACGAATAATTCATAATGACTTAAACCTCTTTCCGTACAAAGTTCCAATAACAAGCCAGTTAAACACTCTATATTTGCCTATTCGCCTGGAATTTTGCCAAAAAATAATTGAAATGGCCGAAGAAATCGATAAATTGCATGTTTATTTCTGATGAGGCCCAGTTTGATCAAAACGGAAGTGTAAACAATCACAATTGCCGTATATGGAGTGAATCGAATCCAGAAATAATCCACGAGACAAAACTTCACCCAGAACGATTTACTGTGTTGTGCGCAGTTTCATCAAGGCGACAATACACCTTACGCCATACTTTTTTGAAAAAAAAACGGTGTAACAGTAATTATCAATAGGCACTGTTATTTAAAGATGTTGAATGAGGTGTACAAAACAAAACCCAGAAATTTTACTGAATTGAAGCAGTCCATTTAATTGATAATTGAAGCAATCCCGACTTCAATCCTTCAGGTCGCAATGAATAATTTTCTAATTAGGTGTCATTTACGGTCCATAATTTTTAAATATAATTTATTATATTAAATAAACAAAAATTTGCTATACAATAAAAAAAAGAATAAATGTAATGCATTGGTTAAAATAAAAAGTTATTACGGTTTTTTTTGTAGCGATTCGTGAGCCACCCTATACAAATATACTCGACACTAATGGACAGTTTCAGGAAAATTCTAACACACTCGCAGTTTTTCTTCAGTCTTTAATACAAGCTCATAGCAAAAATTATTTTGTTATTTTATTTAGCTAATATCTAGATATGCAACGAGCTGTGCTCTCTGCTTTAGCAGACGTATATTCCCATAGCAACAAATGGCTCATTCAAAATGTTTAATCTTAAATTATATTAATGGGTTAGTGGAAGTCAAAATCATCAAAAAGTCGATTTTTTGCACTTTCATAACATATAATCTTGTCTGAAAATTTGAAGTAAGTCTGACAAACAATTTTCGAGTTATTCAATAATTAACAAAGGGTTCTCGGGAGCTCTCGAACGATCAGCAGCTGCAAGCGAACGGTTGTGAGTATAAAACTTCCAATGCGATTTTCTCCAAATTATGTTTTCTAAACTGGTAACCACTGTAGCTCGAGACAAATCAGTAGATTTCAATGAAATGCATGATTTTGGAAAACATTAAAAACTTATGCCTCATCGAAGGATTTTTGTGTTTTTAATTTCGGTTTTTTATATACAATTAATTAACTGTTGGTTTTACCCCGAAAATCTGGAAAAAAATTTCATTACTTTTCCATTACTTTTAAAATTATTAATTTTTTTTTAATTTCTATCAACTAAATTGTCTCTGACTAAACCTAACCTCCTAAAGATTTGCTGTGCAATAAGTATATGTAAAGACTGTACTGAAGAGTTCAGCAATGCGGGTGCGCAAATATTTTATAAATATATTGTACAGAGTTTACACACGCGCATACATATACAAAGTTCACAGTATAATTGAGTTAAAAAATAAAGTTATAATAAACTTAAATTACGGTATGCTATTTGAATAAGATATTTATTAAATGTTTTCTACTGCAAAACATGTATATGTTATTAAAATGCTAAATATAATAAATGGGCTCATTATTATTGCCGATATAATTATTTATTTAATATTATTAAGTGTACAAAATTAAAATATAACGAACGATTTATTCACCTACGAGTACTAAAACTATTGTTTTGTATAAAATCAAATTTATCTTTTATTTAGTTGCATTTTTTACACCTCTTGGGTATTTTTGATTTACAGGTGATTGAGGTAAGCAAGAGATAGACAAACTTTCTCCCTGACAGTATGCTTCATAGTCACATTTAACCTATTCAAATTCAATACTTTCTTCTACTTCCGGAGGTTTTAGGTATTTTCCTTTGCGGTTGATTTTGTGCACACTGGTGCGATCCTTTTTATCAAATTAATGATTAAGACAATATTTTGTAAATCAATTAAGACTGTTGGAAATACACAACAATGACTCCAACACACTTCGAAATATTTGCTACAGTGGTTGAACCAAAGATACAGTACATGACCTGCAGTCATCTAACTTAGCCCTATAGAAAATCTTTCTATTTTTTACATTTAAAAAAATTATGAATAGTATTTGTTTTCGTTGAGTTTTGAAATAACATATTGTAGCCAATAATGAACAGAAGATACTTGATAAGGATTATATGTTAATTTATTTTGCTATAACCGATTATCTAAAACAAAAAATAATTTATTTCTTTATCAAAAATAAAACTTCATAAAATAATAGTTTTTACTAAGATATAGCTAATCTTCCTATTTATAGATATCTTACCAAATCTTTTGAGTAAACCATCAATATAAGCATTGCATGCTTTGTGATCATTTGCAAGAATCCATTGAATACGTGGTACATGTAGTAGTGTATATGCCAACCGAATGAGTTCAGGTATCTGCTCTCGTCTAGGATACGTGGGCGTCACGAAATATATCATAGGTAAAGATTCATAATCACGGAGTGCACGGTCGTGAACAAAAACTCGACGGTCAATAAAGACCTCGTTGCAAACTAGATAAGACTCGTTAAACCGAGCGTGCACTGTCTCATCTTTAATATATAAAAGATATAATTATTGATCCTGTGGACAACATTTTGTTTATAAATAATTAATAATAAAATTGTTTAATAAGTTAATTTCAAATATGTTCTCATAATTATTTTCCATCCTTATGAAATTATAGAGAGGAGGTGTTCAGTTCATTCTTCTATTCCATATATACAGAATTATTTGAATTTAAAAATTAAAAAAAATATTTAATGTTGTGTATTTTAATTATTTGCATATATTGAGCTATTTTAGGGATAAGTAATCTAAACTGGTAATTTTACCAGAAACTTTAAACGTGTTTTTCTCGAAGCTACTTTTTTCAAAAAACTTTTAATAATTTCTAACGGCCTACTCAGCCAATTTACTTTAAATTTTGTGTGAGACTTCTCTATATATGTTTCCATCGTACCAATTATGCTTTTTTAACTCAGAAAAGTCAAAACATGTATTATTTTTATCGTACATCAATAATTTGTCGGCAATTTTTTCAGTTTCTTTATGTAGTACGGTAGCAGTACTTGTCTAGATAATTTTGAGTTTTCAATTTTCACTGTTTTATATCTTGTAACCGAACTTTTCGTACTCTCGCATATTTCAAATATTATTTTATATTAAAATCTGTGGCGTAAAAATTCACCGTTTATTATTCGACAAAATTATAATCATATTTGGTATATTTCTATCTTATATTCTTACATCGACTTATTTAGTTTCATTACTAAATTTTGCTTCTTGTTCGAGATATTTATGGTATATTAAAATCAGCATAATTAACTGCAATAAGAAATACGAATAAACGGCTTAAAGTCAGTTGGTCCTTGTCTTGAATTTGAATTTTGTTTCCATTTTTCTTTTGCATTCGCAATTATTAAGACAGAACATACGAGCAAATCTTCGATAAATTTGTAAGCTGGCAATTTTTTATTGAGTTTTCCTTCTTTTTTAGAACAGTGTTTGGTATGGCCCACTTTTGCATAAGCATTATGTTTTGTATGTATATGTTTTTTATTCTTAAGAACTATTGTATCAATTGACATTACTTAAAACAGTAAAAAAGAACTACGTAGCTTAAAATATAATAGGACCCCATGAATGCGATAGCTGTATCAAAAATCAATTTATACACGGAGTGGCCAATTTTGAAGTGGAAGTGTGAAAATCTTATATTAGGCATATGAGAGGTAGGGGTAGTATTGACCTGTTTTTGTCTATTTTTTGGCAATACAACATACTATTAACAGAATGGAAGTTTGAAAATTTTGTGATCAGTTAGAAGCGGGCTAAAGCAAGTTTTCAAACGATTTTAGTCACAAAAATGCACCATTATAAGAAAAATACATCCACTTAATTTTAGTAAGATAGCTCACATATTGGCCGATATATGCGGTATGAAGTAAAAAAGAAGTTTGAAAATATTTCGATAAGGTATATGGGGCTAAGGGAAGTATTGACCCGATTCAATCCTATTTTAGCATACAGGCATATTATTATCAGAAAGAGACTTTCTCCGAATCGCAATAATATTTCTCACAGATTAATAGTTAGTTCCGGTAAATAGTTAACACCAGGCACTACGCTCCTCTTATTCGACAACTGGGGGCTTTAACAGTTATGGTCCTATTTTGACAATTTTTAGACATGAGATGGTATACCTCAAAGGCAAAGTTTTAAAAGTTTTTGTGCAAAGTTTTGTCTCAACATATTCTTTGGTGCTTAGTAGCCTGATTTACGAAAGTGATTTATTTTTAATGTTACTGTGTTTGCTTGAGGGTCTAGATGAAGGGAAAAATAGCTAAAAAAAATCACAATATTTATTTAGAAAAAAAAACAGGTATCAATTTTGATACTTCAGGCATTAACACCATAAAGAAATCAATATTCAATATGCTCTCAATATCTTCTGGTCGCATTTTTGATAAATTTCTATAATAAAATAAAAATAAAAGTAATCCCAACACCAAGCTATGCAGAAAAATAATGAATCGGAAGTTCAAAAAATTTTTATAGCTAAAGAATTAGTAGGTAGGTTTTATGTAGGGCGGAATGCCTGAAGTATTAAAATTGATACTCACAAATATGTCAGATAAAATAAAACAATAATGACATTTGATTTTTTTTTTAAATTTCGTTGGAAAGAATATTATACAACAGTAAACAGCCTTATACAACAGCCAACCAATAAAAAAAAACTAATAGTAATGTGAACATTCGGTTTAAAAGATTGGTATCAAAATTGAAACTCTAGGTTATTAAGGGTTAATTTGTATCATGGAAAGTGTAAGAATCATATGGAATTTAAAATTATGTTATATGGGAAGTATACGTAGTACCTATCCGATTTCGCTCATTTTCTCACTATTACATGGCAATGTATAATCTTATGAAATAAATTTGGTTTAAATTAGTGGAGATGTGTGATTTCACCTAGATGTGGGGGATACCACGCCCATCGTCAAATTTTGACATCGGCTCCTATAAAACCTTCTTGTACCATCCCGGGGGTAAAATTTTATGTCTCTGACGCATTTAGTTATTGATTTATCGCCGATTTATTCTGTGGTTCATATAATTTGAATGGTTTAGGAGATATATACTTTAAACTTATTAAGGGACAGAGCCACGCGCAGTTTTTAAAAAAATGTTAAACCATAGATGCCCCAAGTGCAATTCGTTGTACTGAATAACAGCCTTGTATAATATTGCGGAGCTTCGTTGTGACACTTTATTCGTTTTCGATTAATTGCGTTTTGAGGACGTGGCCCATCCACAATACCAAACTTCTTATGATACTAAGGGACATGTGTAAATGCAAAACAATTCATCCTAATTAACTCAAATGATATATATTGTCGACTCAGCAACAACACCTAACAGCAAAAAAAGGTCATCTTAAATTTTAGCAAAACTTTTTATAAAAACTTGAAATCTAAGCTGTCGCTCGGAATTTAAGCACGCCGAAACCATATGACAAACACCCCTTGTAGAAAAATTGAAACCAGAATTCCATAGTCAACGGAAGTTATGCAAATGTGGAAAAAGTAACACAGTTCAAATGCAATTGCCCTAAAAAGAACCAAGCGGAAGCGTTGAAAGTATGGTTTTAAATCTTACCCAATGTATGACACAATTTTTGTCTACAATACAATAGTTTTAATCAACGCACAAAATTAAATGCTGCAAACTTTTTTAAGTAAAAAATGAGCGAACTAAATATTTGTATTTGGAGTGCTAACGGTGTTAACCAGCACAAATAGGCGATTATTAGATTTATAAATGAAAAAACTATAGATGTAATGTTATTATCGGAAATATATCTAAGAAATAAGAACAATTTTTATATCCGATTTTAGACTCTATCCTACAAATCACCAAGATGGAAAACGGCATGGTGGAGCAGCAGTGTTGGTTAGATCGATTAAACCACCATGCTTTAGAATCTCATGCTACAGCCCAGTTACAAGCAATAACATAACGTTTAAAAAATCGCAGTAGTGACATAAACCTGTTGGTTATATACTGCCCACCTCGTTTCAAAATTATACAGATTGCCAATTTTTAGACTTCTTTGGCTATATCTCCCGGTAAGCCGACATACTGGCCCAGTGAACGAAACAAAATACAAGATTTAATTGATTTTACTGTAGTTGAAAATATAGACAGATCGCTTATAACTGTTTATACATGTACTGACTTATCTTCTGATCATTCTCCTGTGCTAACAAAAATACGCGAACAACCCTCGGTTGTATCGCTAAAAGTGGGTTTAACATCCCATAGAATGAGCTGGTTAAAATATAAAATATATATTAGTAACCACATTAATATTGATTTCAGAATAAACTCAGAAAGAGATATTGACCAAAGCATAACCGAATTAAATGAAATAATAACTAGAGCCTGCTGTCTTAGCAACACCAAACCAAACTTATAAGCCGCCTGGTCTCAGAAGAATCAAAAATGTTGAAATAGAAAAGCTTGTAAGTGAAAAAAGGCGAGCTCGGCGTGAATGGCAAGTAAATCGCTCTGCTAATACTCAGCTGTACTTGAAGGATTCTGTACGTAAACTAAGAAAAGCGCTAAAGTGTGCGGAGGAATATAGCACTGAAAATTATTTAAAGAAATTGAGCCCCAATTCAACAATCCAAACTCCTTTTGGAAAGCTCAAAAACACATTAAGCCACCGGTAGATTTCAACATGCTCAGAGACGTGAGTGGTAATTGGGCTCGATGTGATAAAGAAAAAGCAATTTGCTTTGCAAACAACCTAGAGAAGATATTTCAGCTTAATTGTCCGCAAAACAACTTTATTTTGCCAACTTTGCCAGACACTGCTAGCAAGTCGCTCTTGCTTATTAAAAACACCTTTCAAGTTAAAAATACAATAAAGGAGATAAATCCAAAAAAGTCGTCATATTTTTACCTGCTTTTTGGAGTTACGACATTTAGGATTTAAGATTTTATTACTAATTGTTCGGCTTTGAACAAGCAGAGTCAATAAATAAAGATATATTAACAAAAAAAAATACAAAAGCATACCTCAAACTTTTCTGTCAAAACAAATGTCTGACGCAAAACGAAGCAAAAGTTCTATGTGAATCAGCCATAACTTTTGTGTCAACCTTTACTTCTTCAACATGCCACCATGCACATCGGCATTTCAACTACGTATATAATATTAATTTATAATAGAAATAATAAATTATAAAAATGCTGATATATTAAGGTTTATTTTCGTAATATAATAATATTTACGCAATACAGTCAACGCCTACAAATTAGAGGCTTCTGTAATTATAATTTCCAGAAATTAAAATAAAGAGTTTGCAATACATTAAACATTCTGAAATTATATTTTGTTTGTTTGTTGCAATCGATAATAGAACTATTATTTTGTTAATTATATTATCTAAAATGGGGAATCCCCAGTTTATTTATGTGATTCGCTATAAGTGAATAACAGAAAAATGAGATAGTGGGATAGTCTTGCATCATGTCATCC